GACATACTCCTTTCCCGATTTGGAACCAGTCTGTCGTTACATGTCCAGTTCTAACTGTTGCTTCTTGACCTGAAGACAGATTTCTCAGGAGGCAGGTCAGGGGTTCTGGTATTCCCATTTCTTAAAGAATTTTCCAGTTTGTTGTGATTCATACAGTCAAAGGGTTTGGTGTACTCAATAAAGCAGATGTTTTTCTGGAACTCTTGTGCTTTATCAATGATACAATGGATGTTGGCAATTTGATCTCTGGTTCCTCTGCCTTTTCTAAATCCAGCTTGAACAGGTGGAATTTCAGTTGACATACCGTTAAGCCTGGCTTGGAGAATTTTGAGCATTACTTTGCTAGTGTGTGAGATGAGTGCAATTGTGCAGTAGTTTGAGCATTCTTTGGCATTGCCTTTCTGTGGAATTGGAATGAAAACTGACCTTTTCCAGTCCTGTAGCCACTGAGGAGTTTTCCAAATTTGCTGGCATATTGAGTGCAGCACTTTCACAGCATCATCATTTAGGATTTCTAGCTCAACTGGAATTCCATCACCTCCACTAGCTTTGTTCGTAGTGATGTTTCCTAAGGCTCATTTGATTTTGCGTTGCAGGATGCTTCCTTCTAATTACTTAAAATTTAATACAAGTCTGCTTTTCCAGCTTTCTAAAATGAAATTGGATCACTGATTTAAAAACTTTCTTCTTTTCTAAAGCAGTCAATTTCTAAACACTACTTTATCTGCATCCCACAAATTTTCACATTTTGTTTATGTTTTTACTCAGTTAAAAATATACTGTTTTATCTCCAATATTTGGGACTTTTATAGATATCTTTTTGCCAGCAATTTTTAATTCAATTCCATTGTGGTCAATGGCCAAGTCTTGGTCTACCTTGATAAATGTTTCACGTGTGCTTGAAAATATCTATTCTACCACTGTTGACTGTAGTGACCTAACAATTTGACCTAAATTGTTGGTGTTGTTCAAATCAGTACTTTTACTGATATTGTTTACTTCTATCAGTTGCTGGGAGATTGTTAAAATCCCCAACTTTGATTGTGGATTTGTCTGCATCTTCCTTCAGTTTTGTCAATTTTTGCCTCATGTATTTTCAAGCTGGTATTCAGTGCATACACATGCAGCATTGTCTTCTTGATGAACTGCCCCATTTCTTTAAAAGTGTATCTCCATGGATGCATGAGACAAGTGCTCGGACCTGGTGCACTGGGAAGACCCAGAGGGATCGGGTGGAGAGGGAGGTGGGAGGGGGGACCGGGATGGGGAATACATGTAAATCCATGGCTGATTCTTGTCAATGTGTGACAGAAGCCACTGCAGTATTGTGAAGTGATTGGCCTCCAACTAATAAAAAAATAAATAATTTAATTAAAAAAAAGTGTATCTCCAGTATACTCCTTCTTTTAAAGTCTATTTTGTCTTATACTAATACAGCCACTTGTTTTCTTATGCTTACTGTTTGTATTGTTTATTTTTTCCCTATTCTACTTTCATCCAGAGTCTAGACAAAATTTAGTTGAGCCTTTGAAAAAAATCTAGTCCTTTTAGTTGGACTACTTAGTTTACAACTGTGACACCAATAAGCAATTATTGGTTTGGCTGGATTTAAGTCTTCCATTTCACTATTTGTTCTTTGTCCTATGTTTTTTAATATTTATTTCCTCCTTTCCTGTCCTCTTTTGGTTCATTATATGTCTTCCAGTATTCAATTTTAATTCCTCTCATTTTTTTTAACTTCTGCCAAGTGTGTGTGTGTGTGTGTGTGTGTGTGTGTGTGTGTGTGTGTTTGTAGTAGTTGCCAAAGGATTACAATACATATCCTTAACACTGTCTACCTACGGTTATTATTCTACTACTTCAAATAAAATGTAATAATCCTGCAACTGTATAATTCCCGTCCCCTTGCAACATGCGTTATTGTTTGCACATATTTTATAGCTAAACACAAGCCACAATGCTACGTTCAATTGTCAGCTGCCTTTTAAAAGTGAAAGTTGCTCATTGTGTCCTACTCTTTGCAACCCCACGGACTATACAGTCCACGGAATCCTCCAGGCCAGGATACTGGAGTGGGTAGCCATTCCCTTCTCCAGGGGATCTACCCAATCCAGGGATCGAACCCAGGACTCCCGCAGTGCACGCGGATTCTTTACCAGCTGAACCACCAGGGAAGCCCAAGAATTCCGGATCTTCCCAAGCCAGGAATCGAACCGGGATCTCCTGCACCGCAGACAGGTTCTTTACCAGCTGAGTTATCAGGGAAGCCCAATAGCTTTTAAAAACATAAAGCAAAGAAAACCTGATAGTTATTTACACTTATATATTTATTATTTCCTTCCTTTCAGCTGATGTCATTTACCTTCTTTTTTTTTTTGGTTTATGTAACTTTATTGAAGAAAAATAAATCAATTACTAGCAGAGCTATTAGTTGATCACTCATCCATTGACAACTTGCATCATTTATTCAGTGCTATATTAAACAGTGTATTGGAAGATAGATTAACTAATAGCTCCAAGCCTCCTAACAATTTAAAGGAAAATTACAAAATGTTTTGAGACCCTATTTTGGAATACAAAGGGTGTTTGACTTCCAATTTCCATTCTCTGTAGAACAAGAACAGGTCATTCCTTTATTGACATGCATAAAATACATCACATTTTCTGTTCTGCTGATGCTATAAATTCAACACCAATTCTCCAGCCACATCAGTTATGAGCATAAAGTATATCATGTAACCTCAAATCTCTAACAGTGGAAGGCTCAGACAAGAATGGATGCTGCTAGAATAATGCTGCTTCCTTTGATGTGACAACTCGGCATCCATCTCCCTCCCTCTCAGATGATCCTTCAGCACGTTAGAGCAGTGAGGAATGGTTTTAGTCTCATAACCAAGTTAGAGTGAAGACATTGGCCACATAATACACATGCTCCATTTTTTAAAAAATTCTGAATCTTGGGCAACTGTTCTCTTGTAACTACTTCACAGTTCCTAAAAGCAGTTATTGTCCAAAGCTGGAAGAACTTAAGCCTTCTCAGATGAGCATGTGAATGAATGGAGGGAGGTAAACAAAAAATAAAATTAAAAAAGATGAGGTCTGATAGGAGAGCAGCCGGATAAGAAAATCAAAAAAGGAACAGTAATTTAAAGTTTATTCTAGCTATAATGCAGGTTATTCTGACTTTAAGGTAGCATCACATGGCATACTTCTGAGTCCATTCCCGAAATATTCTGTTGTACTTATCTCTGTCTGTTTTATAGATCCGTCAGTCTCTGGCACTAGGGGATCATCTGGGTTTGGATCACATAGCAGTGAACAAATGGATAAAAGAACTTTAGAAATAGTTAAAGCAGGAGACCACCGTGATCTTAGAATATCGAGACAAATGCTGCCATTACTGTAAATATTTGGGTGATAAATTCTTGTTGTAAATGCAACCTTAGGTGGTTTGAAGGGGTAGCCTGTAGGAAAATGAATTGTCAAAAAGAATACACCGCCTTGATATGGGCTGTCATTAGGTCCCATAATTATGGCTTGCCAATGAAACATATCATCCCCAACTGGACCTGCAGAACATTGTGCTGGAGGGTCAAGGGCCAAATCACTAAGTTCCTTATTAATCCGTTTCAGCACCATAGTCTGCTTTTCATCTGGCTCCTCACTATCTCGGTGTGTGCTCGAAGGTCCGGCCAAAACTCTTTGATTATCCCGACGGCTGGGAAGGATCGTCTCTTCGTCTCACACCGGCTCTGCCAGACACCGGCACGGAGGGGCCAGGGCCTCCCTTCAACCCAAAACACTCCCCTCAGGTTTCCTTGTAGGTGGGTCTGCTGGTGACTAATTCTGCTTTCATGAAGATTGTTTTATTTGTATTTTTCTGTCCTATTTGTTTTCTGTTCTGCTTCTGGGGACCCAGTCACATATATGTTGAACTGCTTGATACTGCCCCACATGGCATTGAGGCTCTGTGCTCTTATTCTTCCCTCCAACCTCTTTTCCTCAGAAGATTTCTATCCATCATCTGCACTCTGTTGTTAACTTCAACCATTTGGGGTTTTCTGTTCGTTTCCATTACTCTGCTAAGAGTAATTAATTTACATCAATTCACTACAACCACTTTTCCTTTTCATCCTTGAACACAGTTCTGAGCTGCTTTGACATCCTTGTTGGCTAATTCCAATATCTGGGTTGGTAGGATCTCTTTTTACTGTGTGTTTTTCTCTTTTTGACCTTAAGTCATATTTTCCTATTTCATTGCATGCCTCATATTTCATAGCATTCGAGGCATTGTTGATAGATTGATTCATTTTGTTATCATGCTCTGGGAGTGATAAGCTTTATTCTAGTAGGCAGGTAATTATTGGCTAGTCACCTTGATTTTACGGAGGATTGATTTCACATTATGTTAAAGATTCTGTCTTTAGTTTTAGCACAAATTCTTAGCCCTAGGCACAGCCTTTACTGCTAATATACAACCATTCTAGGGATTTGATGCAAAGTCTAAGGTACAAGCTTTCTAACTTGTTGGGATCCAAACTCTTGAGTTCTCTCGCAACAGAGAGCAACAATCTCCGCTGAGCGTTTTCAGCCTCCCAGCTACAGCTTTCCACCAGGTTCACTGGAGTCTTCCCTGCCATGCACAATGCCAGAGTTAGCCAAAGGTTTAAGAGGAAATCACGTGCAGACTGGGTCTCCTCCCTCAGTGCCACCTTCATTTCCAGAATTTCCTCCTTCAGTTTACGGCTCCTCCAGCAGCAGCCAATTCCAACAGCTCAAGTCAGTAAGACTGCAACTTTCTCTTCCATTCTAGCTGCCCACTCACTAGACGGACTGGTAAATGCCCTGAGGGAAAAGTCATGTACTATAGTTCTTTTACTACTTCTGGCCACTCCTTGGTGCCTTCAGACAGTTATTTATTATATTTTCCCAGAGTTTATCATTGGGAGAGTTTGTACGTTACAAGCTATTCCACCACTACCCAAACCAGAGGGCCTTCATTTTATAATTCTTCACTGTTTAATGCCTTAGAAAAAAAATAGAGAACTGTTACTTAAATGTCCTTGGCTCTCTCTTATTTTGCATCTGACAGATTGAAAGTAGAATGTTTTACATATATTAAGATATCTTTTATCTCAAGTGAAATAACTCAAAATAATCTCCTATTAATTGTTGCTCCCAGAAAGTAGGGAAGTACTTGCTCAACTTCCAGTGAATCTACTGAGCAAAGAGGTCAGATAAACTGATTAGGCCATGGAAACACAGTTGACTGAAATTGAACAATATAGGGGTTAGGGCAACTGACCCTTTCATGCAGTTGAAAACATCCATGGTTCCATATCCCTGGATTCAACCAATTGCAGATTCAACCAACCAGACTGTGCAGTACTGAGTATGTATTTTGTGGACCCACACAGTTCAAACCTGTGTTGTTCAAGGGTCAACTGAAATCAGAGTTAGACCAACTAAACTACCATGGAGCAATGCTATTTCCATTATGAACTGACAAAAAGTATAAGACTTCATAGTCATGAAACATAATAAATGGAGTGTGATTTACAACTAGGAAGAAGAATGTGGCTACTCGCATACATATGGAGGCATATTAACTATTAAGTGATATGACAAATCTTGACCAATCTATTGTTGTCTTCAAGCTTAAATTTTTAAAAATTTTATTTTGTAGTCAGCAAATTTTCCATTTTTCAGCTTGGATGTGAAAGATGCTATTTAAAACCAAACAGCAACTGTACATGGCTGGCTGAACATTTATAATTCAACAATTATATAACCTACAAAATACAGCAGAATATGAGGCACATAATTAGGATGTCAGCTAAACAAGACAAGGCAATGCAAAAGGATGTCATTCTGTGGCACATGCTCAGCTGAGCCCTAAGTAGGTGGGACTGTTGGCTGGTGACATATTCTTCTCATCTCTGTTTATATGCATGAATACCATGTGCTGTCAGGACAATGTATCTCGCAGTCAGGACATCAGACTTTTTAAGAAAGAAGAAAGTTCTATCTTGTATAAACTGATTTCATAAACAGACATTGCTTTTAAATCATTCTGTCTATGGATATCTAGCTGTAAGTTCTCCAGTTTGGTCTGTTCCATGTATGTTCATCCTGAAAAACTGCCAAAATAGCAGCAACAACCAATGATATCACAGGGTAAAAACTCATTGACACAGGAAACCAAGTGCTGTTGGAATATCTTTCTTCTTGGTCACTCAATTTATATTTATTAGGTAAACCAAAAGACCTGTTTGATTTGTCACACAAATACATGTATGTATATATATGACTGAAATTAACATCTCGCAATAGAAAATGCCTGTATTCAGAGTCCACCAGTGCTTTGGGATCCTGAGCTATTTTCTGGTATGGTAAACAGACTTAGCATCTCCATCTCCAGTGGATGCAAGCTGCCTCCTGTGATAATCAAGGAATGCAGTGGTCCTCCCAAGTCCACAGTAGACATCTGCTGCAAAGTGCCTGCTGCAATTTTCTGGTCCTCAGCTCCAACCCTGGCTAAGCCAACACAGAGTGTCTCCTCGGTGACTGCTATTAAAAGAAAAACAAAGATGCCACCATTCAATTCAGTAAATGCATTATCCTGAATCCACTCAAACTAACACTAGTACCAAAAATACATTTAAAGAAGTCCCAAATAAATCCCAAATATATTAAATATCCTTTAGTCACTCATTATAGACATACCATCTGCTGATTTATCTAAGGCTTTTCTAAATTATTTGCACTACCTAACATTTAAAGTAAAGTAGTACTTCCTAACTTTACCATTTCAGAATTCCAAAGGCTTACTTTAGTTTAAATTTTTAGGATTTGATGAATAATTACCTGTATGCATACTCTATCACATAGCATTTGTCTTTAACTAGGTTCTGAGTGGACAGTGTTTATTACATGCTTATACTGTAAATAAAATGTTTGAGATATCCTCACATTGATCAAGATATACTGGAAAAACCAGAAGATTTTTAAGATAAGATAAGATTTTTAAGATTAATCTAAGATAAATACATAGATTTGAGTCCGTGCTTGACCACTCAGCTATATGACAAACCTTCAGTTTCTTCTTTTTTATGGGAAAACTAGCCTTCATAAATGGTGGTTTAAGGACTAAGATAATAGATATGAAAGTACTTAGTAAACTACACAGCCCTGAAGAAATAATAGGCATTATGACATTACTGATGCTTTTAAGTTTGAAATAACATACACTGGTGAACTTCATTATTCATTCCAATGTGTCTGCTCTTCAGCAGACTCTCTTGTGATTTTCTTTAGTTGGAAAAACTGTCCTGATTGAAAAATGACCAAAATGGGGCAAATGATTTCTCCAAGAACAAGCAGGAATGTAAGGAACTCTGTACAAAGGTATGGGTATACAGCACCCCTGCAGGTTATTTGTTTCATGATTTAACAAGGCCTACTGAGGCCAATGGTTATTAAAGAATCTCTTTGTGTATCTTTTCTATTAAGAAATATGTGTTCAAAGCCAGTCAGCACCTTGTAACAGAATATAATGACAGATTTATTTAAGAACCTCTCAATAAAAATCTATTGACAATGAACATTTTATTATATAGCATATCTACTGTGTCTAGACATTAAGAATGCAAAGGTAAATTCTCTTATCTTTATCCTGAAAAAACAACTATACCTGGTCTCAGCGTTCAGAATGAGAAAAAGCAGAATAAGTATACTTTCGCAGGATAGAGCTCACTATAGACTTGGGCTAAAAATGGAGGTTTTGTATTTCACCAAAATATTTATACTAACCTATTTACATAAAATCTGATTTATAGTTAATTTGTAAAAAAAAAAAAAAATCCTTTATTTCTAGAATGATAGTAATATTACTAGAAAGAAATCCATTACTTTTCTTTCAGTAGAACTTTCAGCCTATGAAATTTAAGGGAAAGATGAAAAAAATGATAAGAAAGAAATGAATGCAAACACACTGGCTCTCACTTTAGTGGTGGTGGTAATGCACGCGTGTGTTTCAGATGTTACATACTCATCTCAATGCAGCATGAGGGGAATATGAGAGCCCTTTTAAGATTCCTGAGTACCTGGTTCTTCTCCTCGTATTCGCTGATTCTGAACAACCTCCAGAAGTTGCTGGGCTGCTTGGTTGACACTCATATACCGAGGAGGTTCATAGATCTTTCTTCCCCTGTAAGTGTAAAACTAGATGCCACTGTTCTTAGCCATGAAATTACATAATACATTTTTAATGTAATTAATCCCCCAGGTACATTCAATTACCATATTCTATGTTCTGTTTGAAGCTGCCACTTGTTACTCACTTTAAGTATATCATTTACCTTTAGTTTCTTAAGCTTTCTTCATTGTCCTATTTCTCTCATCTCACTGAAATGTTGGCAGAAATAAGTCCAACAACTTAAAGATAAATGCTTAAATCAAAGTTACTCTTATTCAAAGTGGTACTTTAGGGAAAAATAATTCAAAATAAGTGGAAATTTGTTTTATACTCTAATCAGATTTTATAGGGTTCATTTTTATTACCATGTTTAAACCACATATTCCTCTTTTCATATCTTCCTCTAAGAAAAGTAAACTACAGCAATAAATATCTCAAAGTCTTGGAGGATAAGATATGTTTACTTCCATATGCCTCAAAAGCCTATCAAATGTGCTCAATGGTCAAAACAAAAATATTGCTTTTGCAGTTTACAAAAAAATTCATATATTTTGTTGACTCTACAAACAATTCTGTAACTCAGCCCTAACAGAAATATAATGCAAGCCATAAATGTAATTTAAAATTTTCAATAGTATCCACAATAACAAAAGTTTAAAAAAAGAGACAAAATTAATTTAATAATGTATTTATTTAGCCCAATATATCCAGAATGTTATATTTCAACATTTATTCCTATAAAAATTATTATACATCATTTTTGTACTAAGTTTTTGAAATCTGGAATGTATTCTATATTTTAGCACATCTTAATTCAAATGTTAAATTTTCACTGGAAATACTTGATCTGTATTTAGGTCATAAAATTTCATAAAATTCATGGTTGTAAAAGTAGATTCACATGTTGAATTGTTCTAAGTATACTTAAATGCTATCTAGTTACTTAGTTGAGTATTAGTTTTACATTAATTAAAACTAAATTATAGATTCCATTCCTCATTACGTTACATTAGTTACATGTATTTAAAGCTCTCATTAGTTATATGTGGGTAGTGGCTACTGTATGGGATACTGCATCTGTAAGTAAAAAGGGGTTCTTTCCCCCAATATACAGTTGAAGACAATACGGCTCAGAAATGGAAGTAACTTTCCCAAGAGCACATAACCAGAGTCCGACTCATGACTCAAACCCATGTTTTCTGACTCTCAATTAACTCATTCCACATATATTTACTGAGTGCCTCTTAGGTGCCAACCACTGTTCTCAACACTGAGCCCTGAAATTTACTGCTATTTCCATTCTCTCATACTGCTTAACATGTCATAAGATTGAAAGTGTTAAATTTTGCACTGTTACTGAAAACTGATTTTCAACAATCTTTAGAACTTATGTCATTTAAGTAGAATTTATAGTCCATGGAATTAAAATAGAATTAAGCATTCTCAGAACATGAACTTACCTGATTAGATTTTCCACAGACTGTTCCTTTACTTTGATATCTGTAGGAAGCAAAAAAAGATAGTTCTCTTTAATTAAGTATTTTACCCAAAATCCTACATGTAGACTTCAACTGAAACACCTAAATTTTTGGTAAATATTATTCTCAAGTCTCTAAAATGCTAATTTGAGAGTTTGTGACAATTTTCCCTCACACTTGTATCTGGCCACATTTTTAAGGAAATATAAAGAATGGAAGCTTGTGGTTGTATAAAGATCATTAGTTAGAAAACAAACATGAGGTTGGCCCTGAGACCATCCTGAACAGATTGAATTTCCTCTTGGAAAAGAAGACACAGGAAAGAGTTAGATAAATATTGGCATATACACTCTCTAACAGCTAATCAAAATCTTTTGTGTTCATTTCTATTAGCTGGTAACTGCACAGACCCAACTGGAAAGTTCTTGTTATGTTCCTATTCTTATCTATTTTTCAGGCACTAGAATACACATTTCAATGCATGTAATGCAAATATAAGAAAATTCTTACCACATGTTGAAGAGACTTTCACTTTTGTGTGAATGGTAAGACATGCCAGTAACTTATGAAACATTTTAATACCAAATATTCATACTTTATTGGGGATTTCCCAAGCATGGACTGGTAGCCACAACAGCCAAAACACATATAGCCCTTGTTCTTATAAAGCTTGATGATGCAAGCATCACAAAGATTTGATTCTTTATGCTCTGTAATCACTGATGCTCAGCTAAACAATCTGGTAGAAGGTAAAAAAGTAGAATCACTCTACATCCTCACAGGAACTCAGTACACAACAGCAAGAGCAACAGCTGCTTCCTGCTCTACATGCTAAAAACAAATGGTTAGGCCAAAGTTTGTTTCTGCAAAAATAAATACAGTGTAACTGAGTGGTCTTTTTGATAGGCTTCAACAACTTTCTCAAGTGATTATAAACTTTATAAAAGTTTTTCTTACAAAGGATACTAAGCATTTGCTTGGAAAATGCTCTAGAGACAATCCCTTACATATATGTCTAAATGTTCTTAGAACCAGCAATGAATATATTTTTCAGGTTTGAAATTCATTATTTAGGTATTTTCATTGTATGGCACATATAGGAAATATGTATACCTGTTATTGAAATATGGCCTGCAATACAATTAATGATATAAACGTCAACTTAGATCTCCTTTACCTAATAGTTGTAATCATTTTTAAAAAGTAAACATTTATTAATGCATTCACCTTGAGTTTCTGAAATGTTATTTGTGATAGTTAAGCTTTTAATATTTTCAATTTCTTCACTTTTTAAATGATATGTTCTATAGAATTTCATTTTAAAAATGAAGAGGGCTGGGGAGAATTTTTATGGGCAAATGCTTCTTCACTAAATGTAAGTCTGTATTAGTGAATAAATTCAAGCCAGACTCATCTCACCTTGTATTTACACAGGCCATATTTATTCTTTTCTACTTTCTAGAATGTAAGCTTCTTCTATTCATTTTAGTACCAGCACCTAGCATAATGCAAAGTACCTAGCAGATACACCATAAATTCCACTGAATAAATTTGTTCACGTGGCTCTACTATGACAGCTCAACTTAAACTATCTACCTCTTGAGTAGAGGAAAAGGCCACACTCCTTCAGAAAGCCTTTACAGACTTCCTCCCAAAGGCTCTTTGTCCTTTGAGATAGCTATACGATTAATGCTATATTTTGTTAATCTCCAGTTACATCATATGTATCAGTCTTGCCTTTCCAAGTAAATTTTAAGTTCTCTATGGTTTCTTACCATGACATAGTCTCACTAATCCTTACAGGGTATAGCCCATAAGAGCAGGCGTTCAATAAATACATACTAATTAAAAATAATGAGAACTCCAGGTGATTAAATGATGAGATCTATGGTTTGTGAAGTCAGAGTCATGATATCTTATACTTCACACCTTGTTCCTGTTTTTGTTAATGGAGCAAGGAAGATATATTGTTTAACCTTGTTTGTCTTTTCCCAGGAAAGCCAAGAAAAGAGGCAGCAGCTCTTAGAGAAAGTTCAAGAGCCAAAGCTCTGGGTTGTTCTTCCTGCCTCTGCATACAATAGAACTCAATTGTTCTCTCAGCTTTCAGGTACACAGCACAGTAGTTCCAACAAGATTCCAAAATCCTGAGAGCAGGACCCAGGTCTAATACTTCCTTGGTATTCCAGAAGAACCTAGCTCCACAATGGGCATAAAAACTTAATAAATACTGTGAGCTGAATTTCTAACTGCCCTTTCAAAGCTTCCAAAAGATAATTCCAATTGTTCCCCCTTTCCTCCATTTTTTTCATGATACATGAAGATGTTATCACAGGTAGCTTGCCTCTTAAGACTACTTTTATCCCCATTCTGTATTAAAAACTTCTCAGTTCTGTTGTTTAAACACACACACACACACACACACACACACACACACACACACACACACACTTACTTCATATCTGAGCTCCAATGAATCCCTATTTTTTAACCCTCAGTTGCATATATTTCTACCTCTGCCTTTAATAAGCTTTTTTAAATGCTTGTACCTCTTGCATCATTCTCCTTTGACTTTCTACATACCGCTGGCCTTAATTGGCTCTAAGTTTATATAACATGATGGATACCTTTAGTGGCATATTCCACATGAATTAACAAGAACCATAAAATAATAAAGAGGGAGACTAGTATCTTTCCACATGGAAAATCCAAACACAAAACTATAAAGCTAATTAGCTAATAATGAATTACTAAATTACACTGATAATTAACTAAAATAAGAAAGCACTATCGCACCAGTAAATTGTGGGATTCAGGCACAAGCCAAAAAAATACCAGAGAAGCATGCATGGCCTGATCTAGATCTAGAACTAATTAGGTGTCACTCTTACTGGAGTAAAAAAGAAATGTAATCTAGCTGGAACTGAATGAACTAGCAAGAGTTAAAGGTTTTCTGTGCTAATGGGTAAATAAGATTAAGTCTGAAACTAAAAGTAAACTTCAACCAATTAACTTCTATTACATATCTGTTGGACAGCTACACTGTGCTATACTTCTAGACATTAGAAAGAGAGGAATCAGTAAGACAAAGTCCCTGCTCTTATGAAGTAAAGAAGAAAACCAACAAGTTAATGTAACAATTCAGATGAATGGTAAGACAAGAAGTTACACAAGGTAATGGGAAAGAAAATCACTGGGGAATACAGGGTGTACATTAAATTAGGTAGAATTTTACTTTAAATCAGGAGTCATTAAACGTTTCTGTAAAGAACCAGGTAGTAAATATTTTAGGTTCTGAAGGCCACAAGGTGTCTGTCAAAAACTACTTATTGCTGCCATTATAGCATGAAACAGACACAGATAATACATAAATGAAGTAGCGTGGCTGTGTTCCAATTAAACTTTATGAAACAGGTGGTAGCCTAGATTCGATCCAGCAGTGCTAGTTTGCTAACCTCTGTTCTACATAATTTCCAAATTTTACCCTTTAAGAAATGCTAACCATTAGTAAAACTTTTCTACAGTCTTCTCTTTTAAAAGAGACATATTGATTGGGGTTCTGATAATGTACAAATTATATATTATTGAATAATAGAGAACTTTGTACATGAGAACCTAAATGTCTCTGGCAAATAGGAATCTCTTCTAATGTTCTGAATATCTATACTTACTACAGAGGTCAAAATTAGGGGTTCTTTCTTTGCCCTGATTCTGTGATACATGGCAGACATTCTTCTATGGATAACTTCACACAAAGTAGAACCAAAACAGTGCAATTCAGCGTACGATCCAGGGACTGATGCCAATACATGAGCATTTTGTTCCCAACAAATGATAAAAAAAAACAAACTACAAGAGTGTGAATCAGTGTTTACAAACATAGTAATTTGACTTCAACACAAAAGACTAGAAACTTTAAAGTAAATGAATGTATTTATTTTTATGTATATTTATTTTATATATGTGTATGTGCATACACATACACACATATATACTGATCTAAACACTTCCAAAAGACAAGAAAAAGGTTATTCCTATTTGATAAAAAAGAAGGCAAAGGTATGGACTGTTCAAAATACTCTCTAGCTAGTACAGAGTAGCACTCAGATTTTGTCTTCTGATGTCAAGCAGAAGTGTCACTTCAAAGTTATCAAAGGTGACAGTTGCTTCTCTTCTGTTGACCAGCCACAGATGAAAGCTCTGATCACAGGATTTTTACAGCACATACTGTGAGAAGGAACTGACAGTGAATGTGACTCAGTATAACTCCAGTACCTCTGCTGGTAAATGCAGTAGCTCAAACTCCTGAAGCTCTATCAGTACCATCATCTTTGTACACAAAGACAGGGACCCCAACTCTTTCCACACTAGGTAGGAGATACAATTTGGCAGCATAATACAGTGAAAAGAGCTGAGAATTACAGGCTCTGTAGATTCTACCAATTCTGCAACCAATAAGCTGGGTGACAGTGGTAAAATGATCCAATGTCTCTGGGCCTCAATTTCATTGAAGACTGATCTCCAGAGTCTCTCTCAGATCTATAATTCTGTGATTCTGATAGCATCATGACTGCAGTATTCAAGGACACCTCAAGACAGACAGGATGGAACCTGGTAAGAGTAAATGTTCAGTATAAGTCTTCTGAGTTGCTGTAAATTGATGAGGACAGGCTCTTAATGAACAAATGGGTAAAAGATGGAATGCTGGAGAGGATCTAATAGGGCAGAAGTAGGCAGCAGCAAGAACTGTGTTACATATGCAGGAATAGACAAGTTGTATTTGGAATGAAAATTCACTTCTCCACCAGAGTATGGGGGTGGGCACACCATGCACAGAGTAGCTAGACTGTATCACACAGAACAGTTTTACCTTCATACAAAATCAAAACAAGAACAACAGGACAACTCCATACTGTGACCCTAGTGAAACTGCAGAGCATTTACCTAGTAGGCACAAAGTGTGCGTGCCATTTTGTCTGTTCTTCTTCACTCTGTCAAAGAAGCTTTCTGGTCTCCAAGTGTCCGTCCAGAAAACGATAGACACTGTCTCCCCAAACTTATACAACTAGAAAAAATAAAAACATTAATTAATGATATAACAATTCACTAACTACTGTCTCATAGATAACAATCGAAATAAAAAGTGAGACCCAAACTTGAGATGGACTGGGGATCAACTCTGTCATCAAAAAAATATAATAAAAATTCCCTTTGCTCCAGAGCAACTGGTGCCATTCTGATGCCCCTTCGGTAGGAGGCTTCTAGTATTTCTGTATTCAGTACAGGAACATGTGTAACTAGTTCATGATTTAGCTAGGTAGCTGCTAAAAATACTAAAATACAGAGAACCCAGAAGGAAGCAAAAAAAAAAAAAAAAGACTTGTGAGCAGTCAGAGCAGTGTTCACAGGGTTCCTATTACTCTCATTTTATGGAGGAGTCCACCAAGGCTCAGAGAGATGAACTGGCTTGCCTAAGGTCACACAGCTATTTAGTAGAAAGGAACTCAAACCTGGGTCTGAGGAAGAGTTCCTTTCCACCATGCCAGCTCAGTAAAATTCATACACTGCATACTCACTGTGGTCGTATCTCAAAACCTACGCCCTTACTTTCCCCACTATTTATTCCCCGACTCTAGAGTTCAATGATAAGGGCCTTTTCCCAGACCTCCTCCTCTCCCCCCACGGTGGCCCATCTACTCCACATGACCATCACACAACTGAGAAACGTCTTTGTTCCAACGTGCTTCCAGGCTGGCCGCACATCTCACTTGAGTGAATCCAACTCCAAATCTTATGTTGAGAAAATCTAGTTGTGAACTTTGGTTCTGCAACTTGTTGGCTGGGTGACATTACTCTTTCTTTCCAAGTCTTAATCTCTATAACAGCATGCCCTTCCTACCCACAGAGTTGAGTGAACCAAATGACATGTAAAAAGTTATTCAAATTGTGAATGATATTCTTATATTAATTCCTATCTAGGTATTGCACAATGGACTTTATTTTCAAAGACTTAATATATTGCAAAACCTAATACTAAAGCTGTTACATAAAGATCTGAACTATCAATGTAAAGAGTGCCTGAAAGAATGTTTAACACAGCCGGAAAGCACTAAATGCTAAAAATCACACCTAGTCTCTGCCACAAGTTAGCTGTTTGAGATAGCTATATGACTTCATGAGATTACCTAGCTTTTCTAAGCCTAAAGGTCTTCATTTGAACAATGCTGCTGCAAGAGGCATATTCAGGGTCCCCCATCTCTACATGCCTAAAGAAGCTCAACCTTTCTTGATGTTTATACATGGAGGGCTTAAAAACTATCACTCATACACATAATGATGACTCTGAGCTACAAAGAGAAAGTTCATGTCACCATATTCCTCACAAGGCCAGAACCTCCAACCTACTCACCAATAGGCTTTATTCCCAAAGTCCATCTGAAAATTGCCTAAAGAGGATTTCCTCTTCAAAGTCATGCTATTCAAGGGTAGTCAAATTCACAGATTAGTTTACAAAGACCCATGTAACTCTCAGAACGAAATCATAAACCCTCCAGCCACAGCTAATATGATTTCTCTGTAAAAAAAAATGTAGAGTTCCAATGTGAGATCTCTGGAACACATTCAGGTAAGCTACAAGGAATAAGCCTTGCTCTCTTGGGGGTTTCTGTCATTGCTATTGTTCTGAGAGGCAAACGTATCTAACAAATATTTACTATGAATCATCCACGACGTGCCAGGCATTACATTATGCACGGGTATAAAGTGAGAAGCAAACAGAGCTCCAGCCCTCAGGAAATATGCAGTCTCACTTACACCTCACCCAGCAGGCAAACGCTGTGGAGCTGTGGCTCCGGACCCTACTACCAGGATGATCACGGTGACTAGCTGGGTGACTTTCAGGAGGAACTCCCCCGCCAATTCGATATAATAATTATAAACCTAACAATCTGTTTTGTTAAGGATTAAATGATATACTGTATGTAGTGCCCAGTGCCACAGTAAAGACTCAATAAAGGTTAGGGGTGTGGTAATCTAACAATGATAATGTTTATAAAGAAGATGCTCTAAAATGTTGTGTTACACCATCATCCAACTGCTTTCCTTACTGGAATGAGCTCAAAAATATTACCAAATATTTGAAACTATGCTTATGACTTAATCTGACAAGTTCAATTGTTTACATTTTGAAAAGGATTTTTGGCATCTCTGATCAGATTTTGAAACATTAACATTATTCTGTTTAAAAAAACCTTAAGGTAAAACCATTAAAAAAAATTATATATGTCACCATAAATAAATAAACAAGTTTTCAATATTTTAAGAGTCATGGAAATATAGTCATGGACATAAATTCTTCATTCAAAAAAGCAAGGAACAGTTCATTTAAAAGAGCATTGAGATGCTAGTCACATGTAATCACTAGCTGAAACACTTTGTGTAAAAGCTTCTCTGAACTGTCTAATTTGGGGGATTAAAGAAAACCTCACATAAGCTCTGCTTTCTAGGACCCTGATTTATAGACTGTAACCATTTCCATGGCTGTGGTACAAACTTCTTCAATGAATTCTGGAACATTATGCAAACAGTTTCACCATTTAGATGTCAGTACCTCAAAGAACAGAAGGACCAGTCCCTTTGTGTTTCACAATTCAAGGACTTACCAGTAAAGTACAGGAGGAAACTGGAACAAAATCATACAGTTGACGAGAACTGAGGTTGCCGAGACCTGTGTGCCTACCACCCTAAAAATGTAAGCATTTGTGCTTATGATCATTTCCTTTCAAACCATTACTGATGCAGGTCTATATTGAAAGATTATAAAAAGAGTGCTTTTCAAAAACAGTAGGCAAATACAGGCTTTTTTTTATTTTAACCTAGAGTAAGTTACAGGGAAAGCAGTTTATCTAACTTGATACTGAATCATTATTTTTTTTAATCTATTGAAGATAAAAACTCAATTCAAAATGAAATATTTAATCATATATAAGGCACTAGTTAAGAGTGAAAAGATGCACAAGAAAGACAAATCTGAGGTAATAAACAATAATAAAAAATTAGATATAGATTAAAAGTTTAGTGTTTCCCCCACCTAGAGAGCACCTGAAGGTAACTTTTGAATAGACAGAATATAAGGTGGACCTTAGAGGATGGGTAAGATTTAGCCTAGGCAAGCTGAACATGCAGAATGAGATGATGTGAACAAAGCAACAGAGGCGGGAAATATTGGGCAATACTGAGAGTGACATTAAGAAACTGCCTAGAAATAAGTACTGCCTGACTTGCCTCTAACAAGTATGTCTAATTCCTGACATCTTACTATGTACCAATTCCTGTCAATTCTTGCTTTATAGTTTACCCAGATACTATTCATTTCTTTTTTCTCTACCTTAGTTTGAGTTCTCAATACCACTTGCCTGAATGACCTTAATAGTCTTATTGTTCATCTCACTGCTGATATTTCCTTTCTTTCAGAAGCACAGATGCTTTGTAAGCTCCATTTTATAATTAGAGTTTAATGCTTTGGTATTTTATATTCAAGGGCTTCCCTGGTGGCTCAGATGGTAATCTACTTGCATTGCAAGAGACCTGGGTTCAGTCTGTGGGTCGGGAAGATCCCCTGGAGAAGGAAATGGCAGCCCACTCCAGTGTTCTTGCCTGGAAAATCCCATGGACAGAGAAGCCTGGCGGGCTACCATCCATGGGGTCACAAAGAGTTAGGCATAACTGAGAATGCACACACACTTTATATTCAAGTGAAAATATTTTGTGATTATTAAGTTAAAAAGTATCTTTTTTGGATATGGAAAAATTAGAAAATTTAACTTGCTAAGAACTTTAGCAAGCCCTACATATATCATTTTATATATGTATATCCTAACCAGATCACTTAAATTTGTGATGTAAAAGAAAGCTGAGCCAGCAGGGCTGTCCAAAAATGTACCACAAAACCATTTAATCAAGAGTTACTAGTTTTCTTTTTTATATAGAATACTTGTTTTAGTTTTTAATCTTCACATGCATTTTGCTTAACACTGATATAACACTGATTTCTGCTAACAGTAAGAAAGATTATACACATGGCTACATAAGCAGGTACACAGATAAAGCTGAATGACTATGTAGACAGAAGAGCTGTAAGATTTATATTTTCACATATAAATAAGAGAACCCACATATAAATTAAGTGAAAGAATCACAATTTAAAGCATACAATTCCAAAGACAAGATCCAACTTGGGGTGAGGGGCAAGTGGGGTGGGGGGGATAAATAAATAAGCAATTCAACTCAGCAAATATTTGTTGCACATTGATTATATGCATGGCACTGCAATAAAGTAGCAAGGAAGATGTGAAGATGAGTAAATTAAGGAGTTTATAATATGGTGAGCACACAAACATACACAAGTAACTGAATTCTCTTATAGGATGGAGATTTACCAGGACTGTTTGAATAGAGGAATGGCATAATCAGATCTACAATTTAAGCAGAAAACTATAAACTGTAAAAGAATGATGGTAAGATGGCTATTAAAACAGTGACTTAAAAAAAGGAAATGAAAAGGAAGGGGAAAAAATTTAATATACTCTCATGATTTAACAGGTGGTCAAAAATAATTCCGAAGTGACTAAAAGAACGGAGAACTTACTGGATAAATTTTTCTAAGGTTTTCTAAGGTTACAATAGTAATGCAGAGCTCTGATACTGTTATTATCTAATTTGGTGTTCTTTGTATTAAGTTTTATCATTTCTACAATAGTGCCTGGACGACAATGAAACCAATTTAATGCTTCTGAAAACTAACAGTGAGAACTACTACAAGGTCAAAAATGCTGACTATCACAATGAGTGTTATTTTAAAAAAGGAAGGAAATGAGTTCTTACTTTTTGAAAGTAATATATATATTTTCCAAAGTAGAAAGGTATTATATAAACAGAGGAACATATGGCAATAATCAAGGTCACTCATGCAACAGTTAGAGAAAGTGGAAGCATTTCATAATGATGAGAAAATTATACAACCTTTTCCCTGAAGTCAGCCACAACTAATAAGGCAGTTTTTATGCA